CTGGGCTGGGGCCATGGTAAATGAAAGTTACCCACCCACTCCTCTGTATAATCCCAATGATGACCAACACTTGACTCCCCAAAAAGCAAATCAAAAGGAAACTTAATGGAACACAACTAATCCAGGGGTTATGGGATATAGGCTAAATTTCTTGCTAGACGGATTGCACACCTTCATAATCACACTTTCCTCAGATTGGATAGCATTTGCTTCTTTGCTTCTTTCTACTTCCTGTCCTGTCTTTGATTCTGTAATCTATGGTTCTAGCACTCATCATTCATCTCCCCCTTTTAATTAATAAGGCAGCCAGGAAGGGGGAAATCTCACACACAGCAGATGCCATTGTCCCTTCTGCCTTTCCATAGAGGGCATTCCAACTGGGAAGGATTCATCTGAAAAACAGAAAATGGATATGGCAGGTATATTATTAATTATATTAATTAAATGCCAAGTACCCTCATGTGACCTAGGATTATCATGATGTAATGATGCTGATTCTCCTACAATGCATGGGACACATTTTACAGATAAAATACGTGCTATGAAGCCAAAAGAGAAGCAGTAAGTCCCTCAAACTGGGCAACAACTAGGTTAGCTTTGCTTTCCTGGTCTCAGGAAAGGTCCTGAAGTCTTAGGGTGAAATGAAGAGTGAGACAATGTTTGATGCCTTCAGCCCAAAAGACTGTACTGAAGACTCTAAGCCTAAAGAAGGAATCAACATAAGACTTCAACCCTTCCTTTCTCCTTTGGGTCAAGACAATCTTTTTCTCGTTTGTTTTCTAGCATGGCTAATGAAATCCTGTTCAGATTTCCTCCTGAAATGAGCTACTTAACTGTTCAGATCCCAGGGTGTAGTTTTCGAGAGCCTACACCCAGCCCCATGGCATACATCTTACGCCACCTCCTTCCAAGAATGCCTCCCAGAAGTCCACTAGCAAGCGGTTGAGGGGAATCTTGCTTTACATGGGCCCAGACTCAGTCTTTTATTCACCTGAGAAATGATTCTGACATCTCATTTTCTAAAAGGCGAAATAAACCAAAAGATGCAGTTAACATGAGCTTTTATTGCAAATCTGGTTAGAAATAGGAGAGAAGAGTGTCAACTTGGAATTTAAAAAAAAAATTAAAGCATCTCCTAGTGAGAACAAAATTGGTCATTTCTCTGAGAAGCATTTCTGTTGTAACAAAAGCACTGCCTGTGTTTGGAAGGGGAGAAGGGGAAAGCAGAAAACAAAACACCTCAAAAAATAAACAAAAACCCTTCTTGGTTATATATATATATATTTTGTTTTTGTAGAATAAAACAATATCCATATTCAAGAAACTGAAGATGAAAACACAACAAAAACACAACAATCTTTTTATTTATGTAAATTAGATCAACACTGGACAATAAACCAATTTCTACCCATTACCGTAACAGCTTGTCTATAAAGAACAGAAAAATTCAGATAGAATTCTACCTAGGGTCAAGCAGGGTTGTTTTTTTCTTTTTTACCACCCATTCACAGAGGTAAAGATTCACAGATAAATAATCCCAAACTACTTGCTCGCCATATTTACACATTCCCATTAAATTAAGCATAAATAAATATATACAAACTTAACATGGATACCCTCCAGACCTCTTCTCATGAAGAGTTAATAGATTGATATTTCTTGACTGTATGACAAAACAATGCTAGTGAATTAGAGACCAACTCAAAAGAAGAGTCAATTTTGGCATTTAAAGAAGGATCATGTTCATTCCACTTTGAGGAGGAAGTTAATCAAATGTTGGTATTTCTTTTTTTCTAACCCAATAGCTGAGCATACACAGAAAGGGAAACAGTGTTAGGCTCTTGAGGCAACATCAGGTGGTTTAAAGTTATTTCCTTTCCACATAATGTACTACAAACTGGAGATATCTGATGTGATGACAAATGCTCTAAAATCACTGTAACTAGGAACGTCTTGTGCCCTTCTTAGTAAGGCTTTGTACTGGAGGTGCAGTGTGTAGACAAGTTGGGGGGTTTCAGGTTTTCCATGTGACCAAAGTTTTCATAGGATGTTATAAAAAAAAAAATTGCTCTAGAGAAAGCTAATTCGTTGGCCAAAGAAACCAAACTAGGCAGGTCTTTGAATGCCTCTTGAGTGCTCTATGTCAGGGTGGAGGAAGCAAAGGATGTGGAGACCAGAAAAAAGGTTGCAGAAATGATAAAAAAGATGGGAGAGTGGAAGACAGTCACTTTCCCAGTTTGGGGGAGAAGTTGAAGATCCCTTAGATACCTGAATCCTTTGCCAGCATAGTCCTTTGTTACTGCCCTGAGACCCACAATAAAAGAACCAGAATGGTCTGGAGACCTCCACAGACACTTCTAATAAAGAAAGTCTGAGGACAGTGTAGTCTTCTCCTGACTCCTATCTTCAACTGCTCTGATGTGGGTCTGAGCTTTAAGGGAGCTCAGCTGGAGATGCAGAGGCATGGTTAAAATGTCTGAAGAGTTTGAGGTAGGGGGAGCACTGCTGCCCACCTGTTTGGTTTGAAAACAAAAGCTCAAAAGGACTTGCCTTAAACGTTTCCCTTGACTTAAAAGGCAAACTCTTGCGTTAGTTAATCCTACTGTTTATTGATTTATGGGCCCAAGGAAACCAAATCTTTTAATAACTCAATTATCAGATAAACGTAGCTGGCCCGCCTAAGGAAAGCAAGGGTGTGTGTGTGTGTGTGTGTGTGTGAGAGAGAGAGAGAGCGAGAGAGCGAGAGAGAGAGAGAGAGAGAGATTCCTACATGAAAATGAAAGAAGTGGGGGGTACAGGGGTGCTAGCGCTTTGAGGCTCCATCTAGCTAGAGCTGAGGAGGAATGCACGAATGGGAGCGCAGGGTGATGCTGAACCAAGGAGACAATTGGCCATCCTATCACCCGCCTTTAAGGAGCTGAGGGTGGAGAGTTGCCGTCCTGGCAGTGGCAGGTGGAGCTTCCAATGGGTACCCGCTGATAGCCACAGGCCTGGGCAGCTTCTGGGTCCCCTCCTCGCCTGCTGCCTGCGGGGCTCCGCCCCATTACCTACTGGAGAATGGGCCTTTCTAGGTCGCCTTAGCCCTTAGGGTGAGCCGAGAGCAGGAAGGGCGGGCCCGCGCGGCCAGCGGCCCCTCCAGTGGCTGATTCTATGTCCTCAACACGACTGGGCCCGAATGGCCCACATGCTCACAGGACCTGCACAGTAAGAGCAAGGAGCGTCCATCACGCCTCCCGCACTTCACACGCGTGGGGCGCGTTGCCCTGCAAGGAAAGGAGATGATGGTTTTCAGTGTGGTTTCTCCTGGCCTGTGCAATCAGAATACATCTAATGCAAGCGGCCAGGCCCTCGTTAAGGGCAAGGGCATCTAAGCTAGGAAGAGATAGGGTGTCTTAACTTTCAGTAACATTCAGTTCCCAATCTTTGTACTCTATGAACGTCTAGAGCCTGGACCCTTCAGACCCAGAGGCCCCAAAGGAATTGAGTACAAGGAAAGGGTAGGATATATCCTAATGGGATCCACTGGACGACTTGAAACTTGAGTCCCTAAACTTCAGCTCCTCACTCCAAAGGTCAATGCAATGTCCTAAGTCTGTTTCTTAATCTCTTTCCACATCCACTCCAAGGTAAAGGCCATCTGAGGCCACAGAGCTGCTGGAAGCTAAATGGGTCCTAGTAGTAAAAGCTGAAGACGACCACCACCAGAATCTTTCTCTTGAAGGAATGTTACAAAAAGATCTTTACTTTGTTTAATGAGATTTCTGTTAACTAGCTCAACTTCAAGACCATCTCACCCCACTTCTCTTCCAGGATGGTTTACCACTGCATTTTGGGGGTGGGGGTGGGAGGAGGCAATTATTTCATAATAATGCTCAGATAGAGCCTGAAAAAGGAGCTTGGCAGCCAGAAGTGAAAGATATTAAATGCATGAAACTTTATCCACTGGGAATAGCCCTAGTGTATCCAGACGGTAAAATTCAAAGCTGAAATACATCTCCTTTCACTTTGCATTATTTTACCATTATATGCCAAAACAAGTGCACGTCTGGGAAGGAGGAAATGGCTCATTCATAAAGCATCTTGTAAGAAAGCAATTATTGCAGACACACACGGGAGGGTGCACTATCCTTCTCCCATGCCCACTCCCAAAGCCGTTTCTTTCTCTGTTAAAACAGCCTTCACCAAAGAGCGAGCCTATGAAAATCAAATTTATCTTAAAGGCGGGACAATACTGTTAGAATCTTGAGATCCAAGAACCCCCCCTCTTCTCGCTCCAAATTCACTTTGCAGCCCACCCTCCCCCCTCCCACTCCCAATGTTGAGGTTATCTGTTAGCAACTAGATTCAAAGCTCCTTCCATCTCATATTGGCCACTTTCTCAATTATTCCCTTTGAGCTTCTTTAAAGAAGTGCACCTGCAGAATTCTGACACAGAGGCTTTGATTAAAAAGGGATCAGATTTTTTTTTCTCTGTACCTTATAGATTGTGTAGGAAGCCCAAGTCTTCTTTGAAGAAGCTCATAAACCATGCGGGCAAAGCTTTGGAAAACAGAAGAGAATGAAATGGTACATACCCCTCCGAAGGAATTACATACTAATCAACGTATATTCATATAGATTGTTTTACTAGAATTCTTAAAATTGGTAGAGGACACAAATTATTGTAACAAATGCAAGATTCTCAGTTTGCAGATAGCTGGCAAGACTGGGAACTAGTAACATTTCTGAATGGAACTGGAGATGAGTCTGAATCAGCTTATTTGTCCGGATTTTCCTCAGCCGTGGGAGCCTCAGGTCGGCACCAAGAGCTGAAGTCACACAGCCCGAATATCCTTCAGCTGCCCGCCCGCTGCCCTCAGGATCCCTACTTATTCAAATGCCGGGGGAGGGGGCTCCAGTGAGTAAGGAGGAGGGGATGGGAGGGGAGGGTGACCGGCAGGGCGAGGGCCAGGGTAGTCTGGGGACTGAAACACAGCACAAAAGGACCTAACCACACTCAGAGATTTCCGGAATGACCTCAGGAAGGGAGGGAAACATAGAAAAGAGTGGCTGCGAAAAGACTTGTAGGGTGGAGGGCAGGGACTGCGAGAGTTTCCTAAAAAAATATTAAAAATTAAAAAGTTCGTGCATCTCAGTCAACCAGCTCTCAAAGCACTGACACCAACAATGTTTCTCCGATTTTCTTCCAATAAGTTAGTTTTTCTCGTGTTTAGTCTTACGTTTATTTTCCAAAAAGGGGGGGGGAAATCATAGTTTTCTTTTATTATCAGTATTACTAAGCTCGAAAGAACCGAAGTGGAAAATCCAGGCGGTTGTCTCCAAGTGTATCTTGAAATTGACACTGGGACCCAACATTGCTGCTCCGTTGTACGCCTCAGGCTTTTTTTTTTTTTTTAATGTTATTTAGCTTGCTTTTTAAAAATTTTGATTGTGATTGTGTGCATTCTACCTAATGTAATTCTTCCAAAGCCAATCCAATATTTTAAAGCTAAAATTATTTTTTCTGTTTTCCTTTTGTATTTAAAACACTCTTTTCTTTTTTTTTTTTTTTTAAACTCTTTTCATTTCCTGTGTTTCTCCTCCTTGTCGCCAGTTTTACTACCTGGGCCTTCCCCAGACGTGTGCCTGTTAGTAGTGGTGTTGTTCAAGAACATCTTGTCCATGCCTTTGAGCGCCTCGGTGAGATAGTTCTGCAGAGCAGTGAGCGCCGCGCAAATGGCTGGGGCCCCAAAGCCGTGCGTGATGAGGCTGAAGTGCGTGAGGCAGCTCTGGATCCCCGGCTCCAGAATAGGGCTGGGCCGGCTGTTCCCGATCGGTGTCCGGTCCTGTGCCAGCAGATCCGTAAATTCTTTACAAAGTTGCCTGCAAGGGGGGTTGGGGAGGTGGAGGGAATAAGGGAAGAACAGAAAATCACCCTCAGTGTCGTTGTCAATGGCATTAGAAAGGAGACGCTCACACAAGGCCCAGAGGCGCCTGGTCACTGAAGAGCGAGGCTAATGTGGGCGATTCCGCTCTGTTTCCTTTCCCAGTGCGCTCCCTTCTCTGAGCAGCTGGGACTTGAAGGAAGGCGGGGTCGGGGAGATACCACCTCAAATCTTTCCTTTCCTCCGCCATTCTTTTCTCCTCTGTTCTATTAAACCCCCTCCTTTGGAAAACATAGCAGGTGTTGGCATTTGATTCTGAATATTTAGTAATTTAGAGACTGTACCTGGCATTTCTTTTTTAAGGTCCCTTTCCTCCCCTCTCCTCTAGCCTCTCTAGCTTCTTGGTAATGAGAGGCAAAAAGCCCTGAAAGATTTAAGCCCTTCGGCCACAAGCCTGTCCCTGGCACAAGAGCAGATTGTTGGGAGGCTTGCATGGCCCAGGGCAAGCAACTGTTTATTCCAGGATAGAATTCTGAGTCTATTCAAGGCAAAAATCTGTTTACCTGCAGTATTGGGGGAAAGAGGCTTTTTTTCTCCTTTTAAATGTAGGCTACTGGAAAATCTTTGTACAACAGGGTTCTTGTCAATACAAAAGGATTCCCACGATTGTTTAAATAAAACCTAACCATAGATGGTTAAGACACTGGGGAGGATAGATTTTTATTTGCTGAAGGTTTTTATTTCCTCAAGGCACCTAGAATTTAGAGGAATTGCCTAGCCTGAGACATCCCGCTATGGATTGGGCTTATTTGAGAAATTTTTAATATAGCAGGGGGACCACCAAAGGGTTTAGCCCTGAAGGTCAAACATCTTGGCTCTGCTGGTAGACAAGAGCATCCCAAAGAAGGAAGCCTTTCACATACTGACTAGCTTCTCCTATATACCTTCATCCAGGCCTAGGGGGTGAACTTACATGCAGCAGGCCAGCCCCAGAGGAAGGGGGGCCAGCTAGATGAGATGGCCTGGCAGACACGTGGCAACACCTGGCCTGGCCAATAAGTAAACAGGACATGTGCCTCAAGGCAAATGTGGAGAACCTAGGGTGTGCAATTGGAGGGCTCTAAACCAGATGGGGAACACTTCCTTCCTCTTTGCCCAGCCCCCCACCAGCAGTTGCTGGTTTTAGGGCTGCTGGACAAAGAATACTGACAGGTGCCCCCTCTCCCCACCCTATGGTTTCTCATTTGGAATGAGCATACATCCACTGCCAAGAGGAAGCATGGGTAAAAGTCTGGCTTTTAAGTGAGACAGTTCTTTGGCAGGGGGAACTTCAGGGTCAATTGTGAGATTACAGGGCAGGTAAGATAAGATGTTGAAATAGAGACCTGGCTCCACCCCTAGAACCCTAATTCAGAGCTAAGCCCACACATAGATAAGATACTTGTAAAAGCTCCCTAGATGATGCTGACGGACATCCCAGTTAAGAAGTGCTGGCCATAGAGAAGCCACAAGGCTTCAAGCAGGCAGGGTACAGTTAAAAGCATCCCTTAGGGAAATGACATAGTAATTTGTGGAATCCTGTTATCTGATATGTACACTTTGTTGTTATTTCCAAATTCCTCTTCCTCTTATACAACACCAACAGGTTTCCAGTCTCCTGTGTGAGAGTAGAGGGGTAGTCTACTGACAAAACTCAATTTTATTACTAGTTGGTACATCAGTTCCTTTGAAGGAAACTTACAAAGAGGGTAGGTGTTGGGTTTTGATTGTTGGGAGAGATGGTTAAAGTCTTTCCTTAAGTTTTTACTCATTACCAAAGTGCCAAGAAAGGAAATTCTGGACTAGAGGAACAAAATGCTTAGAGTCAAACCTTTTAAATCTTCAAAGCCCAACCCAGGGTCTGTAAGCAATTAAAGTTCTGGGACATTAATATTTTTTGACCCTGCGGAAAGGGGTAATCAAATTCCAATCACGTCTCAAAAACATCTGAACAAATTTGAGCAAATGATTTTTCAGCCTTCCATATATTTCTTTAAATTACGCTGTCAATGGAACAAACCGCGTCCTGGAGCACTAAATAAATGAGCGCTGCTGTTTGGGCAGCACCCCGCAAGAGAAACGAGAGGGTGCACGCAGCACCGCCCACTGCAGGCCTGAGCCGGCCATAAAACACCAACAATATGACACCCAAGCCAAAGACAGGAGTAAATCAAATAAATAGAAAATCCACTGTAAAAGTTCAAATGAGCTCTAGACCTAAATTTAGCCAGAGATTTACTATTTTCCCCTCTGGAGTTGTAGTAAATTTTATAAGTCTGGAGAAGATGACAAACAGCAACGTTGCAAACGGAATAGTTAGAGCTGTGGGTAGAGATGGGCACATGTGGATGACATGTAGATACCCTGCGCGTGGAGAAATAATAGCACAAATGAAGTGAAACCCAAGCAGAAATATCTTAGGAAGGAGCAGAACAGGAACCCACCCTGAAAGGCCTGGCTGACATTCTTAGGGTTAATGAGGGGAATTGGCACTCAGATCTCCCCCAGCTCGAGGCCCTGTTCTTCTCTGGATTCTTTCTCAGTCTCTGCTGTCCTCTCCACCCAGCATGAGTGGGCCTGATGAATGGGAGGCAGGTAGAAGGGCGAAGGGTCTGGGCCACTCACTTGGTTGCCAGCAGCATATTCTTTCGAGAGTGCAGGTCGCTGGGGTCCGTGTGCTGTCGGTTTAAATATTCAGAAACAGCTTTGGCAGGAAACTCTGTTTCGCAAATGTACCCAAAATCCCGAGCTAAGTGAACAGCTTCCCCTGAGAAGACAGCAGTGAAAGAAGTGAGAATAAATACCTCGGGACAGACAACCCTGCCAGCCAGGTCTCAGTACAGGCATACCTCAGAGGTGGTGAGGGTGTGCTCCCAGACCACCTCCAAAAGGAGGGCAGAATATTGCAAGTAAGCTAATGTCAAAATAAAGCCAGGATCACAAGAAAGTAACTGTCACAATAAAGTGAGTAACTTTTTTTGTTTGTTTCCCAGTGCATAGATGTTATTTTACATGATATAAAGGATAAAAGAATATTATGAAAAAGTTTGAAATATTGTGAAAAATGGCCAAAATGAGACATGAAGTGAGTACATGTTGGTGGAAAAATGATGCCAATAGGTTTGTTTGATGCTGAGCTGCCACAAACCTTTGTAAAAACAAAACAGAATCCAACAAAACCCCAAAACCACAATATCCTGGAAACACAATAAAATGAGGTACACCTATATTTACATGGAAGACCACTGTTGGTGTGGGGGATGAAGGGGCAAAAGCAAAGGTGGGATATACATTCAAATAAAAATACAGTCGTCAGGCTGTAATTCAGGTTGATGGGGCACACTTCCCAAGTACTTAACAGGGCCTCATCTGGCCATCTTTCTAGGCATGTCTTGGTTGGCATCCCTTTAATACGTTTAGGGTTTTGGTCACCCCAAACTCTGTCTTAAGAGAATCAGCTGATAAATTCAGGGATCCCTCTTACAACCTAGACTTTAGCTGGATGTTCAGGCCAGAGCCACCTCTTGAAAGCATCTCTTATAATGGCTTGAAATAAATGTAAATAGTATCCTCATTCTCCCATACTTATGTTAAGACAAATATCACAGTAATTAACTGATATGTACAAACAAATCCATAGGTATGTACATCCACTAATATATAGAGCATATCTACCCCTACTGAAATGATTATTCTCCTTGTCAGTTTTCCTGCTAGTCAGGTTTCAGATTTCTCTTTTTCAGAGGTTCCCATTCCTGTCATCATCCTCCCACTTAAGGACTTTCTGCAACAGAAAGATGACACACAGCTATAGAAAACCTGGGCACTTGAGGGATTCCTTCGCTTATGTAGACGCAAGCTCCTTTCAAATAAAAAACTATAACCTTTAAAGCAGCCCTCAGGGTTTGGGGAAACATCTCGAATATGAAAAATAGATATCTTCAATTATCCCACAGCAACATTACTTTTAAGAAGCATGACTTACTTTTAATCATTATCATAAAAACAACAAAAGACTTTAGGCATGGTGCTGACAATGATTCATCAAACTGAAAACTCCCAACCCAAAACTGGAATTTCAGTGGGCTTTACAGTTTCTTTACTTTTCAACCTAAATTGTCTCAAGCTATGATTACCTTGACTTCTTTTCAAAATGGGGACTGGGATAATAGCAATTCCCTGAAGGGCAAAAAGTGAAGCCCTCAGGCAGAGAGTCAGCCACTAATAAGTGTGGTCTGGAATTTCAGGTCTGCTGCCTCTGGAGGGTAGGTAACTTTGCCTTAAAGATGGCAAAGTGCAAAGCCTGTGACTGTGATGACTTTATGGTTGCTGTTTAAATATTCAAGATACCCTCCTCCAAAACTCAGCTCCCTGCTGCAGCCATACTATCACATTAATAAAAACAGAAAGGGGGGGGGGAGGATAACCATCCTGCATGCTAGACCAGAGAGAAAATTCTACAACTTCCTTCTTTAGGACCTTACAGCTGTAATTTCTACCCCTTCTCAATGCCACAAATTCACCTGCAGACCCTCTTGTTCTAAATTGTGTAGTCAATCTTATTTATTACACTCAATAAATATCATCCCCAGCTGAGAACTGATGACCAAATTAGAATGTGCTTACAGTTATGGCTCTTTCATTCACAACCGATGAATCTACAATAAAGCTCATACCTGGCTTCCCTCCATGCTTCCCTACCTCTACTTTCAGTTTACCTCAGTTTTCTCCCAGGCATCATTGACTTTATTAATCTATATCATCATAACAATAAGAATGAGGTAATCAGCTGCTTGGGCTCCAAGAATGACATAAGTTTTAAAATAACCATTCTAGAATAGTAGTTTTAGAAATGGACAGTGTATTTTCCAGCACTGGCCATTCCGAGGTGACATTCAGGAAGGGGAGGGGTACAGAAAGAATTGTTTATAGAGCTCTCCTTGCAAGGGGCTGCAACAGTAGAGGTGACCCCTGGACTAACCTGAGCACTCTTCAGAGCATAGGGACCCTTGCAGGTGTCCCTTTGCCCCCTACAACTGCCCACTCCCTCTAAGTATAAGGACCTTTGAACTTCTCTCAAGCAGCGTTTGACATCAACTCAAAAGGGCTGTTACAATCACAATGATTTCCTGTTAATCATGAAACATGCAAAGTGTCAGCCTTCAGCCTGACATAGTTTAAGCTCAGCCCCATATGAAATAGCTGGGCTTCTTGCTTACCTTCCACCAGGGAGGTGAGTAACGTGACATTTGCCGCTTTGCGCCTGCCCGCCGGTAAATTCAAACCGATTTTTTCTAGCCTTTCTCGCAAAGATCTCCCCCCATTTTTCGATTTGGCTCTGAAATTGCAAGAATTAACATTCTGATTAACCTCAGAGTGTTCCTGAAACAAAGTTTAGACTTAGCAATCTAAAGCCCAGTGGAGCCTGAAGAGGTTTTAACTTGAGGTTAGCACATTTTCCCCCCTCTTCCTTTTGGTTATTTGCTGATAGTTTGCTGAGGTTTGCTTAATTTCTGCAATACAGAGCATTAAAATAAAAGCCGTTTTCCTTTTTAAATCTCCTGGGGGGGGGGGAAATGATACCAGATGGGGATAATTAGCATATAGGTTGTGGGTCCAGGGAAGGTAAAAGTTACACATGCAGATAAACACACATAGACACTTTTGGCCCTAAGGAGTCAGTGTGACTAGCACTAACTGGAGGAGCACAGCCGAACTGAAAAGAAAAAAGAGCTGGTGCTTATAAGAGGACAAAGCACTTGCTGAAACAGGTGGGGGTTTTGTAAAAGAGGCCAAGAGTCGCTATTATAATGGTGTTTGGTTAAGGGAGACTCAAACATGAAACTCATGATGATAATAAACATAATAACAGTACAATTAACACTTCAGGAGTTTACTGATGCATCAGGAACCATGATTAGCACGATATATTGATTATCTCATTTAACCTCAGAGAAGATCTTAGGTACATACAGTCAAATCCCAAGGAGTGAAAGAAAATTCTTGATCCCTGGGTCAACAGAACTGGTTTGAAAGCTGAGTCAAAGCAGAGGAGAGCAAAAAGATTCAAAATCTGGGCAAAATAACACAAAAATAGCCGCTGTGTCCTTTTATTGTCATACTAGTCGTATAATCACTCCTTGAAAGGTGACTTTGGGCCCCTAAACTGGGATGAGTTATCTTGGAAAGTCTCTCATGTCAAATTACCTTCATACCAGAGACACTGTTAAAAGGGCTTGATTGTGGAAGAGATTTTAGAGAGATGTTAAGTGGTAAATTCTCCTCTATTTCCCTGTGAAGTCAACAGATTATCTTCCTCCAAGACTGGGAAGCATCTGAATGATCCCAAATAATTACTAGATTGATACTTACAAAATGGTATTTTGGGTATTATCAGTGGTACCGATTGTGTTATTAAAAGGTCAAAAGTCTGGAATAGTTCTTCAAACTAATATACAACACTTATGTTTTGGTCATCAATTGTATTTAAAACAGAAAAAAAAGAAATAAAATTGTATTTAAAATAGACAAACAAGGTGCATTGCACAGGAACTATTTAATAAAAATCCTATGTATAACAATTGTGTGTTGCAAAGTCTGGACTGCATTCTTTGGGTGAAAATTTGATATTCAACAACAACAAAAATGGCATGGGCTGTAGGCGAGAGAACAACCTCCAGGTGAGGGGAGTTGGGAAAAGAGCGAACAGGGTGGCGAGCACTGGGCATGGGTAACAGATCCCGCGTGAAGTCCCCACACCCCTCCCCACACAAAACAACAAAACTGCAAGCGCACGAAGCTGCGCGTGCGCGCGGCGCGAGCCTGCGGGGCGTAGGTCTGAGGGTGGCGGCGTTCCCGCGGCACCGAGCACGTGGCAGGCCGCAGTTCCCAGCACGCGCTGCGCGGGGGGCCTCGCGCTCGCCGCCTGGTTGCTAGGCAACCGCGTTGCCCTCGGTTCTGGGTTCCGCGCTGGAAAAACTGAAATTTATTTTTAGGGGGTTAGGGAACTGGTATTACCTTCTGAGGACGCCACCGAGGAGAGAAGCATTGAGGCATTCGGGAGGCGAGAGCCGTCTCTGAACTTCCCCCACAGTTACTTTGTATTTTGAAGTTGAACTAAGCAGAGACAAGCGGCCCGGGACTGAGCAAAACACCTCGCCTGTGTTGACGGACATCCCTCCCAGGAAGCCATCTTTATTCATCATCAGAGAAGTCACAGATTTGGGAGGAACCGGAACTAGGGGGGGGGAAGAAAAAAAAAAATATATATATATATACCATAAAGGTGACCGAGTTTCGATCCTGGTGACTGGCTGACAGAATGTGTCAGTGCGTACGCTGGGCGAGGCCTCGGGAGCCCCGCCAAGTGGAAAGCTGGGGGAGGAAGTGTGTGTTTCCCATGGGGCTGCGGTGCGTTCAGAGCGCTGGGGACAAACACATGGAAAAGCCATCACTGTCCTGGAAACTTACTCCATGGGTGCAGGCAGATGAGTGTGGCTTCCCACAGCCGCAGTCCCTACACACATCTAGAAAAGTCCCCACTGGAGACCTTGCACTGCGCTCTGAACCAGACCGATTCTAACCCATCGGGTGGTGGCTGTGTGACCTTGGGCACCTCACTCAGCTCCTCTGAGTCTTCGTTTCCTCATCTGTTACCCTGAGGGTGATCATTCATTGCAATGGTAGAAACTGATCATAACAACGGCTTTGATGACAATTTTCTCCATAGTTCAGCGGCCAAGGGGGTTTTCAGATGCTGGGAATTGCACACATTGCCCAACTTTCTCTCCTGAAACAGCTAGTGCGTGTTTTATAGGCTGGTAGCATCACTCTTTGCACACTAACCTACCCGAGCTCCTCTCCTCTTGGCTCAAACCTATTGTCCTTTTCTTACCGGAGAAAACTAGAAAGGTGGGCCCCCGAAATTACTAGGATCAAGTTAAGTAATACTACTGATCTGAGAAAATTGAACCCCAAAGAACTGCCTATTCTTTTCTGCATGGTAACAACAGATTCATTTAGAAATGAACCCAAATACTCGTCTCCAGTGCCAGCAGTTCTGCCATGACGTGAATTGTGTTTACAAATTAACCTAAGGTACCGGCTGGTGATTGTTTGGAGCAGTTATGATTTACAACAGGTGCCCTGATCAATCAACCAATCACTTTAATTCGTGTGAGCGGCGCTCTTGCCTTGCCCCAGTTGTTTCATTTCGGCAAGTAATTGATAACAAACCGCACTCAAGGTATGTTTTATGCAGAAGTTAATAAGAGCTGACAGCTGGTTGCCACTGCTACCCAGGCACATTCAGCCTCTCCAGCCTGTATTTCTGTTTAATTGTGTTTCAGTGTCATCTGCACGTTAGAAAGAGGCGGGGTTCAATGGAACCAGAAGACTGAAAATGAGTAACTGTGAATGTTCAACCTCCCAGTTCTCTAGCCATCTTCCTTTTTGGATTTCTGTACTACTCAAGCCCATTTTCTTTATAAATTTAGTTTCTGAAGCCACTGGGCAGGCAGCTTCCCGTCCTGCCTTGCCCTACACCTGTTTTCTTCCATTGGATTATGTGGCTCCCAAATCTTCAAAAAGATTGCAAATAGAAACATTCAACATACACTAGGCATTTTAACAAAAACAAACTTGCTACCCCTGCCCTTTTAAAAACGTCTCTGTCCTACTCTAACCCCAGTAGAAAAAAGATAGGCCCTTTTTAATCTGGGAGGTGACAATGATGATGGTATATAAACCTTTTTTCAGAATAACAAGTGCACAGTCATTAAGCTATTTCATTCACAACATCCTGTAGGGAAGAGTAGACTTGCCCATAGGACTTCCAAAGCTATGTAATCTTCACAAGAAGCAGACCTTTTTCAGTTAGCAAGCTGAATGCTTTTAACAACAGCATCACCAGGACTCTAAGAATCCTATCTGTATATGCCAGACAAGTTGCTAATTGTATTTTGTATGGAATTTACTGATGCTGAGTATATTTGTACTAGGATTATTCTCTTTAGTATAGATGGCTGCATTCAAACCTCCAAGATGATTTAAAGAGACTCTTAAAAGACAAATAGGTCCAAGCCTTTTTTTTTTTATTTCTATAAATTGCAACTGACCTTTTACAAACTCTGTCTGATAAAGGCTTTCCTAGGGAAGAGGATAAGCACTTATTCCCCCCACCAAAGGTATAAAGAACCCATCTTTCTCCTACCAGAGTTAGAGGCTTTATTAAAAGGGTAAAGGTAGGAAGTTTTCTTTAAAATGCCTGGTGCATGTTTCAATGTGCAATCAATTTGAGTGTTTCAATTTGCAGTCAGTTTGAAGATCTGGGGGCCACATAATCCAATGGAAAAAAGGAAGACTGAAGCACTCCCTTGTGCTCTTTCTTGGTAGATATGTTCAGGTCTTTGAATCTTTCCATGGAACACAAGCCCTTGTCTCAGACATATGAATGATGTTAGGGAACAGAAAACATCTGCACTCTCACTGCAGTGCTGGGTGTGGGTGAGATGTGTGTGTGTGTGTCTATGTTCTAATTCCCTTCATCAAATTCCTATATTATTATCAGCAAAGCTGCTCTACATCTGCGAGTGAAAAAAGAAGTTTCAGTGTGTTAAGCAGATTTGGGAACCAAAAGCACTGGAAGTAAAGCCACTTCATAAGACAGTGATCGAGTGGGAACTCAAGGTCCACATCTATTTTATCAGTCATATTCTGCACAGCAATCTTGATTTCCATATTTTAGATTTCTGTTTAAGACATCAAATATAACTTAAGGTCCTGGTAACTGGCATTTGGGAACCTTGGAGAAACTTTCTCTCAAGATGTAGAAAACCTTTTGTAGTTTTAGTGTTGCATGAACTAGAAAAGATAAATTGTATAAAAATCTCATTCTTGATACTCAGTGAAATTTTTCTCTGTCTTTAGAAAACTATTTAGGAAGAAATTTTTAACAACAGCAAAAAACTACAAAAACTGAAAATCATAATTCATATTCTGCTTTCTACATGGGGTATCTAAATCTTCTAAGGATTGGTATTTTACTTCCTTCTTGCAGTCCCCGATGCCAGGCCTTATGAAAGACTGTATAACCTGCCCTTCAATTTCCCAATTGTTAACTGCTTGATATACCTGTCAAGGGCTGTTTCCTTTGGGGAATGCATTTCACTGCATCTAACTATATGTACAAAACCAAAATAAAACCCATTCTGACTCACAGTGACTCTATGGGATGAAGTAGACAGTCAGTTTTCAAGGCTGTAAACCTTTATGGAAACAGATGGCCTCATCTATATCCTGTGGAGCATTTAGTGGGTTTGAACTGTTGAACTTTTGGTGGGCAGCAAAGCTCAACATATACATTACCACCTAAATACTACCCATCCAGTCAGTTTCTGTCAGCACACTGCTGTCTGGGGACAGCTTTTATTTTTGCTTTCCAAAGACACAGATTATTTGAGTCAAGGCACTTCTGAATCTATTTCTATTTTCTAGTTTAAGTATCACAGTCCTGGTCCCACTCTCTACCCTCTCATCCCAGATACTAAACCTCTCTCCTATTTTGGCCCTAGTTTGATCCACTATACTAGACCCTACATATCTAGTCCCAAGTTTCCTTTAAGGTCATTGCGCATTATTAAATTTCCTTTGAGTTCAGGACTCCATTATTATCTACTTTCTCCTCCACCCTCACACCTGCTTGGCTCAGCTGATTAACCCCAAATTTTATTTTCTTTTGTCTTTCCCCTTCTGCTTTCCTCTAGCTTATCAATAAACGGAGAGAGCAACAGGGCCCGGTTGATTTGTTAGTAATTATGAGCACACTGTTCCTGCTCACAGAACCCAGAGATGACTGAGATAGGTTTAAAGCGACAGCAGGAAATGGTAAGGAAATGGAGCATAGCGAAACTCAGCGTGAAGCTTTCAGTTCTTTACATGTTTACAATTTTCTGTGCATACATTAAAACGGGGTGTGTGTTTTTTTCCTCCCTCTTTAGTTCTCAGTTGGATAACATGGCCAACTTCTGCAAGCAAAACACCCACAAAACTTACTCCCCTCCCCTTTGCGCTGCGTCATGCTGGGGAGAAGGAGGGGGGAAAAAGTTTGACAACTGATCAATATTTCATTACTTTGACTCAAGTTTTATTTAAGAGAGAGGGGGGAAATGATTAAGAAAATATTAACCATGAGTGGATTATATAGATTCAAATGGTTAATAGGCTAGCTCTTAATTTAAACTCTTTAAACTTTTAAGTGTGAAATTGTAGCTTTGAGATCATTGCATTTGACTGTGGTTCTGATTCCTTGGAGAGAAGGGAAGACAGGAATCTTACAGATTCAGAGGTTAAATTTATCTGAAAAACAACTGTATTCAAAATAAGTATGTCTACTATAATGCAGACAAAGCAAGAAAGGTGGGCAATCTCCTCCCTTTCAATTTACTGCCTCTAGAAACCCCCTGGAGGCTCAGCTATGAGTCAGTTGGATTCAATGGCACACACCAACAACAACATATTGCAACGTTATGGAGAGATTTAACATGGTTTCATAGTGGTTTTCAAAGTTGAAATCACACCTTTCCACAATCAGAGGACCCCTTTTCTTACACTTCCATCACTTGTCATCTACTTGAAAGCTATATTTTACACCACATGCACAAGCATGCCAGGCAATGAAAGGTAAAATGTAAAATCAATCCAAACATCCAATGTTGGCATCCTTTAGGGGTTTAGACAAATTTAGGTGTTTATCTAAGAGTCTGGAAGTGAAGCTGAATTTTGTCATCTACTTGATGTGCGGGATCCTGCCCTAACTTCTCTCTGCCTCAGTTTCTACATTTGGGAATTGGAGAGACTCAGTTCTTACCTTTTCAGCTTTGAAATTTTGTGAACTCTGATCATTCCCTGGATGGCTGGGATGTGCCTCAGCATCTTTATTTTATTTTCTTTATACTTTCTAGGTCAGAAGGAAGAATCCCATGGAACTCATTGTAATTGAAACTTGGCAATTTCTTTATTTCTCCGGAAAGAACATGCACACCAATCAAAGTGTTTATGTGGGGAAGGGGCCAGAACTAACGGGTCGAAGTGAGAGAGAACGGAGGTTGAACTGAAACTAACCAAACAGGATATCCCTAAGACCAATGAAAATGCCCCACAGTCATAACATTTGAACCTTGGACTTCAGCCACACTGGCCTTTCCAAGAAATCCCAGCATATTTTCTGCTGTCTAAGGTGTCAAACAGATTGCATATTGGCTTCTGAAATCACTAACAACTTCTCCTTAAAGTGCAGGTTAGCCTTTTTTGGAGTTAGGCTGGATGATGGTGGCACTGATCATTTATATTAGGCGGGCACGCCCCCATCACCCCCACAAGATTCCTAATCTTAATGGAAGTGAGAGTTAAGAATGATTTTTTAATGTCTCGTTGGATTTTTAGACTGTTAATGTACCGCATCCTTCTCATTATTACTTTATTGATTGCTCATTGACCAGCCCCCTTCAAATCGTATTAACCACCCTCTGCCGGTTTAGATTAGGAGAGTTTAAAAAGCACCTTTCATTACTCCCCCCCACTCCTGCCATAGAGTTGAGACTCGGCAGCTTAATGGGAGCTCTAATGGGGCAGCTAAGAGAAGAGGGGCCACGGTCCCTGCCGATTGCATTAATAGCTCAAAGGGGGCCAATACAGAAAATTAGCCGTAAACGAGCTCTGGAGATCTTCAAATGAAAGAGCCATTTATCACGCTGGCTACCTTCACTCCACTCGTTTGCTCTCTCTACTGGGAACAACTCATTTCCTCTTAACTAAATTACTTCAGAAATGTCAGCTAAGCCCAGATAGCAAACATAACAAGAGAGGGAGCCTATGGGGTGATACCAATGTGGGTGAAAAATTAGACTGGTTAACTTTTAGGAGGAAAGTTGTCAACAACTGTAGAGACAGACAGACAGAAACCTGTATGTATGAATCTTCTGGCTTCATAAATAGAGGCAGAGATACTCAAAGCTGGACCAGTTGCTAGTCTTTTATTAGCAAGTTAGAATTATTCTTAAACTCCCCTAAAAGTTCGTTTGAAAAGAAATTAAAAAACAGAGTGCCCTAACAGTTGTTGAAAAGTAGAATATTTCATTCAGAAAACTTCTTTGCCTCCTCCAATTACACAATCTCTTGGAAATAGCCTTCATAAAGGTTGGATGGAAGGGCCAAAGGTGAGAGATCAGAGGGTAGTGAAGAGGCCAATGAACCCATAATCTATTTCAAGTGTCCACAGTGCTTTTAGATAAACAAAATCAACCATTTATTTTCATTTTGCCCATAGCTTCCTAAGGTAAAAATGAAATATTAGGATCTTCATATAATAAAGCAAATATTCAAGTATTCACTGATATAGGTGATTTAATATTTCATATTCATGTTGTGTACCACTTAGATTTATAAGCTGCACATTTAAAAAAAAAATTAAGCTTAGGGCAGGGGCTCATTGGTTCATTCTCTCCCATTACCAGCCCAAAAGATGGTGCTTGGATACTGATCTTTGACCATAAGGGGTACTGTGAAAAGGGAGGAGAACTAAAATGAATTAACAACATTAAGATGGTGAAACTGCCCCTCTCCTTCCCAAATTACCTGGTAATTAAATGGAAAAGAGAAAATGAAAGAGGAAAGGGGGAAAGCGAGCTGGGAACACAGCTCACAAATCTAAATACTGAACCTGAGTATCTCAGCAAACCTGAAAGCTGATATTAAAACTCAAAACAATGCTATCTAAAGCAGCAAGGTCAAGATGTTTGGAGCAATACTTAAAATTAGTAGTTTGGTGGCAAACCTCACATTTCCAAGCCAAATGATAAAATTTCATGTTAAGATTCCCCTAACTCATTCACCACAAAGATGTAGATTCTACAGTTGTAAAAAAAAAGTAAAATTTCCCTTTTGGAATCCTTACTCTACACCCTCTTACAACCCCAACTAGATTCTGGATCACTTTCTAAAGCATCTTTTCATTGTTTTTGTGAATATCACTTAGCTCAAATGAATCATAAATGACTGAAGGTGGGGGCTATTGACATTAACCATAAGGACAGGGCATCTCCAGCATCATCAAGGAAGAGTTCCAGTAGTTAAAATTACATTTCCAAATACCAGTCCTGTGATAATTAAAGAATGCACTGTTTACACAGTGAAGCTCCTAAATTTGGGGCAGTGAGTGACATTTGGGCTTTTCAGCAGACCCTAATCACCAAGCATTTTCTCAGTGACTGTCAGAGAAGGGGGGAAAAAATTAAGCAGCTGCAATACGCCCGAAATGAGTTATTGTAATTACATTTAATTAGTTTAATTAGTTAATTATTTTGCTTACAGCTGTACAAGAGACTGCAAACATTTGTTAATATCACATGCCCTTTAACAGTATGGGGTGATTCTACAGTCATACTAAATCATGAATGCATGTGTAGGAAGATTTAGAAATGTGCATAGGCTGTTCAGCTTCTTGGGATGCACATATTTAAAACCACAACTGACACACAAAAATAATCAGAAACAACCCATAAAGCACAGAGGTCTGGCATCAAAATCACACACACACACACACACACACACACACACACACACACCCCATAAAATCAAGGGGAGAAGAAGATATCTCATACCCCTTCTCAGAAAACTCCAGTTATTAATGAAACAATTATAGCACCTTTTGGAAGCCCATCTTCCCCACCAAGTTACACACATAATGCTGGTACAATAGTGTAAGATGTACCCAGAATGCCTACAAAGTGTAGTATGAGAAAAATGACAACAGTCTCTGTCCTTCTGTCTCTTTCACCTAGGTTTCTAAGCCTGCATTTCTCTCTAGCCCATCCTCATTTTTTCCCTCCAAGCACACACAGGCCACACTGTCTTATGACTGAACAAACATTTGTATCAGATAATGAATTTCCCTAAATTGAAAACTCACTATAAAGATGTTAATGCATAATAAAACTTTGCTTACTTTTGGAGACGATAATCCATACCTTTCTTAATGACAGACTGGTCCAATAGATTCATGCCGCTGTTATTGGCATCTTCAACTGACTGTGAATATAAAAACATCACTATTCAAATTGACTGGATATTAAAGAATAGCACACATAAATCATGTCATTGGAAACTGGAGTTTTTGTTATTTCCATTTATATTAATTCACAAAGGGAGGTTTTATTATTATCATTATTACCTCCAAATCGTCATAAAAATGAAATTCACCCAAATTATAAAGCCTTCTAAAGAAAGAGAAGGGGAAAGGAAATAGGGAGGCATCTGGGATACAATATTGGTTTAGCTAGTCTCTAAAAACACAGATATTCCACAGACATATAACTTTTATAAGATTTACTCTTATAAATTGTGGAAATCTGGCAACGGCGGAAAGATTCTGATGAATATTTGTAAGAGCAATTCCCTTTTCTATTCTAACCTAATGCATCTTAACCCCACAGCCATTTTATAAATACATAATAGTTTACATTATGGGATTTTAATTAAAGTCTGAGCAATTTTGAATGGAATGCAAACAGCAACACATAGGAACACGTCTGCAAGCCGCCAGGACCGCACACCACTGCAGAAGGTACACGCTACTGTGTGCATGTGAGCGTTTTACCGCACAACGACAATCCCCCCTACACAATCAGCTCCCCCTCCTCTCAATCCCACCATGGCTGCTTCCCAGCAAGGGGCACACCTGTTAGGGAGGCAGTGAGACCTCCTGCCACACACACATACACAAGTACAGGGATCCTCCCAGGCAATTGCAAGGGACAATCATCTTATGTGCGTATAGTTTTAACCCAAATAAAGTTTCAACCCTGCACTATAGATTTCAGCTTCACACATTGGCGGCACTTTGGAGAGGGAAATAGCTATTGGCACTTGAAACTTACTGACAGGCTGCATGTCAACAAGAGTTCTGCTTGGGCTTCCTGGGTATCCAAAAAGGGGGTGGGGGAGACTCTTTCCCTCTATAGAAATACACGCAAAAGTCTCTCTGTTCTCTTTGGGCCAATTTGTCACCGGTTTTCAAAGAGCTTGAAAGGAAGATGGCATTTCTACAGAGCCTGCCACCCCCTCATGCTGCATCCTCAGACAGGGTGTGTGCCCATCACAAGAAACAGACTGTCTATCCCAAACAAGCGGTACACTGCAAAAGAGACGGATGACCTAATCACAGAGGGAGCATGTTAAGGTGTTCCTTTTTATTCTTAACAGTCACTTCAGTTTGCAGAAAGGTGAGCAAATGTGTCATTCTCCACAAGACCCGTTTTCCACGTTGCAGCATGCCATGCACATCTTAAGAAAGAGTAAAAAGTTTGGGGTGGTTGGGTAAATACTGCGTCATAACCTGTTCGAAACTCTCCAGGACACACGCACACACCCCCTTTCCTGTGTTCTGCTGTGGCGATTTGTCCACGGAGGACATCATTCGCCTGTGTGGGCTGGCGGGCCGGCTCTCCCGCGGGCCTGGGCCCAGTGCGCCCCCACGCCTCACCCTCACGTCTGTACGTAAATATGTATATACGCCTCATCAGCGACGTGGGGTAGTTGTGGTAGTTAATGAGAAGGCTCTTGTCTGATTTTCTATCTAATTACGGCCGCCTGCTGGGTTTTTGTACAGGATATTCACGCAGCATGCTGGCGCTTAATCGTCACAGGGAGGATCGTAAAGATTTAATTAGGACTGCATGCGGAAGCGCAGAAAAACAACTCAGACTCATAATTACTAGATTTCTTTAGTTAAAAGTGATACCGGGGGTTGCTTTAAGACACTAGGGTGTGTTTGTGTGTGTCGGTCTGGGTGGGGAGCATGGCTTAACATCTTCCTATGCCCCATACTCCTGGCTGGTGGATGGAGGTGATGGGCGATTAAAGAGAGCAAAAAAATGAAAAGCCAAGGTGCACACAAGCGCTCAACAAATCCCAAACTAGTTGTCATCTGTGTCTCTCCGCTTCCTCGCCTGTCTGGGGCACTTTCTGAATTTTCATCCCCCCATGCGCGCGCGCGCGCGCGCGCACACACACACACACACACACACACACACACGCAATGGGTGAAATGTAGTAGACTCACACACACAGACACACACACACACAGAGACACACACGCAATGGGTGAAATGTAGTAGACTCCCAACTCAAACAGCGATTTTCTAGTTTAATAGGCCCTGTGAGTAAATTGAAATAGAAATTGACAGGGCTTTATCGTTTCGTTTAAAAAATATTAGAAGCATTTGGCTAATTAGCTCTTGTCGTTCTTTCTCTCATTGTCTGACGGTGACCCCGAGGATGTATCTGGGTGGAACTGCACTCCCATAGTCGTGGCCAGGTGAGTGCCTCGGCAAGGGTGGCCCAGCACTGCCCGAGGGCGCCTGGTCCCCAGGCTCAGACTCAGGTGCATCACGAACAATGGCACCCCAAGGCCACAAAATCAGACCTTAATTGCAAAGAGCTCAGGCCCTCTCCTGCCCCTTTTAAGGACTGGACCAGCAGCACAGCCAAATTACAGCAGATGCCCTGAACTCTGAAAAAAATACCCTGGGCAGTCTCTTGTCAGTTGAACCTGCCCTCCAGGTCCCTGACTCAAGCGTGAATACTCCCCAACAAAGCAGATGAGGGACAACCTCTCAATTAGGGGCCTTGTTCTAGGTATACATCCACCTCTCTCTTTGTCACCTGCCCGTGTCACATCAAGCACATCCTAATCTCAATAAGACTATGCTCAAGGCCGACACTGTCATTGAATACCCCGTTTCCGTCTGTCTTTCCAGAATGTCCTCCCCACACACCAGGTGACCAGCCTGGGAAGTGGCTGCGGGGAGCTGTGGGAGGGGGAGTAGGGAACCAGTGGGGTGGGGAGCACTGCCAAGGCCCAAGGGCTCCTCTTTTCCCCTAGATCCCTCCACCTTCCAGGGTTATTTTCCGACAGCAACAACTCTAGCTCTGCTCTCTTGCACCGCAGGAACCCTTCCCTACCTTTGGACTAGGGTACACTCCCAAACATTTGCAGACCAGCTCCTGTGTTCCTTCATCTTTTCTAATTGGCCAAACTCTTAAAAATCATCACAATTATATAGCAAACAACAACAAACAGCTAAAACTGATTTAAAAAAAAAAATCTGCCCCCTTCTTTTAAGGAAACTCCTGGTTTGGCCCACCTGAACCAATTGGCCTGCAGGGTGGTAGTGACAGAGACTAGGGTCACCCACGGTAAAGGCGATTCGTTCACCAACCTTCTTGACACAACAATTTAAGACCTAATCAGAGAGGCTGGATCAAGTATTTCAGTCACACATTTACATCAAAGCCTTAAAATACTATTAAACATTTAACTTCTTAGACTTTACTACTATGATACAAAATAAACACTCTCTCTAGATAGGAGGAGTCAAGCACTTTAAATTACAAAAAAAAAAAAAAAATCACTCTATTGGTGACTCCAACCAAAAATCAAATGTTTCATCTTCATTAAAAGTAAGAAATAGCTGTGAATTTCTTTTAAAAGAATAAACGACCATTTTATTTACCATAGACCACACACAGCATTTGATGCTGTTACTACATTTTAACTGCTTTTTGAAAGAATTATATTCTCCCAACAAAGTAAAGGACTTGTGCGTCTTTTTTTCCTTTCTGATTGCATTTTCCTTTTCTTCTGAAGCGTGTCTAAAATGATGCATAATATATACAACTATGCCAATGAGACTGAAGTGTCAAATAGCTTTCAACTGTATTTATCTTTCTGGAGACAATTTAAATCAGAGAGGAAAAAGAGACCTGCTCACAATCACCCAGACAGTTTTGAGGAATCATTTCTTTGATGTTTCTTTGTTTAGTTTAAACAACTATTCTCAACCAAATCAGGCTCCATTGTGTAGGCTGCAGATGGGATACTATGTGTGTGTGGTGTGGGTGGGGGGGTGGCAATGTTTTGAACCTTTTGTTTTAAAGAATAAATATGTGATGCTTTGTTAGCAATGAGCAGAGGAGAGTGTTGAAGTAGAATATTGGAAAATTGGTGAATATTTCTACACAGCCACTTAATGGGCCAAACTAAAAAAGAATCTCCAAAATAACACACGTCCTCATAGATTTTTCAACCCCAATTCTGTCTTTCTAGGTTGCTTCTCTCACAAGTATTCCATTTCTCTGATGATGATTCTGGAACTCAGCTACCTTGGAAAAGGGTTTTGCGGCCTGCCAGGGGCATTCAAATCAGGATCTAGCTGGGACAAACATAATTAGTCTGTCTTTTTAACAATAGCTATTGTTAAAATAAGGGAGCATGCTTAGGAAAATATTTTCAAACTTAGCAAGGAACATTCCGGGAGCTCAAGGAGGACCCAATGCGCTGTGCTGGGACAGCGGGCCTCCAGGTAGCCGGGTCCTCACTCGGCAGTCACAGGAGCCGACCGACTGTGTGAAAGTGGGGACAGGGGAGGGGGCGGGGTGTCAGGCACCAGGCGTGCCGGAAAATTCGCTGGAGTCGGGTAAGACAAAACCCTCTACCCTCAATTCCCATGATCCCCAACAGGGCAAAGCACACGCAGCACTTTCCCCCCCCTTTCCCCCTGTTCTTAATTGAATGTCTGACGGCTCTGGCTACCCTAACTGGATCTCCTGAGGTCACTGTTACAGAGCCACAAAACACAGTTATACAGGCAGAGGCGCGTCCAGTTGGTTCCCTTGTAAAGATGGGCACCAACTCTCCCCAGGAGAGCAGAGCTGCCCCTCCCCCGGCCCGCCCCCCTCCCGGGGCAGCCGTTGTGTGTGTGTGTGTGGTTACCTGAACATCCTCCATGCCGGGGTGGCCCAGGCCGTGCAGCGAGAGGCTGTCCCCCATGCCCGCGTCCAGGCCGTGGTGCGCCGAGTGCAGCAGCACGTCCGGCCGGCGCACCGAGTGGTAGTCCCTCCGGGGATCGAGGCCTGAGAGCTGGGGCAGGGCGGCCCGGGGCTGGGGCAGCAGGGAGCCGGCTTCCGAGCCCACTTCTTGCCGCTGCCGTTGCCCCCAGGGGTGCTGCTGGGGCTGGTGCAAGGGGTTCAGGGAGTAGGGGTCGTTGACGTGGGAGTAGGGGTCCTGGCTCTGGTGGTAGGGGAGCGGCTGGTAAGGGGGCGGGAAGTAGGGCGGCTGGAAGTCCGACGACGGGGTGTGGGACAGCGGCGGGGCGCTCGAGTAGGGTCCCTGGGACACCGAACCCAGCTGGGAGAGCCGCGAGCTGTGGCTCGGGACGCCATCGTGACGGTCCTGGGAAGCAGAGAGAGAGAGAGAGAAGGAAAAGGGGGGGAAATACAAGCGCCAAATGGAGCAGGCCGACTTCCGTACACTCTTTCCAAGACAGGGGTGACTAGAGTCTGAAATTTAGACCCCAAATTGGCTTCAAGGGCCACGTGATTTCACCAATTCTAAAGGCAAGACTTGAGGAAGAAAGAAAATGGGGGTATCACCCACTTAGCAAACATCTGAGCCTTCTAGTGGGAGAGCAAAGCTAGCCAGAGGGGTGAGGGCAAATAAGTGGGCATAGGGGGAGCTTCTAAATGTCTTAATTAAAAATGTAAGAGTCTTACATATATTTTCTCTTCTGGATGCTTTAAATATTACTTCTAACTCTTGCAGAGGCCAAAGTTAAAGAAAACTTTATAGTAACTAGTGCCCAGGTTCTCCTACTTAAACCTAACCTCTACCTCCACTGGCCTAGCTGACAAACAACTCCCTCCAAAGCCGGGCAACTCCAGGGGCACAGAGGAGCCAGACCGACCCAAGTTCCCAGCAACCCCTCCCTCCCCAAAAGGAAGAAAATAACTTGCATAGTGTTTGAAACAGATCTCATTCAAAGTGATATCCTGAGCCCATGTTAAATTAAGCTGGACTGTGGTTCACAGGAGCTTTTCTATATCCAACACTATTACATTCTGGGGTGTGAAAATGAAAGATCTGGACAGTGAGGGGTGGGGTGGGGGAACCGCATTTTTTGTATCTAACTGGAGTGAGCCAGTCAGTGTGTAAGAGAAGGGGAAGGGGACATTGGGTGTTTAAAATGTTTTCTCTCTGGAAATGCCACAGTAAAGTCCCCAAGGTTCTCTTTGCAGAAGCAATAAACTGAAATTTTCAAACTACCATGGCCAAAAAGAAAAGTTTTTCTGCTCAGCCTCCCTCCTCCCCAGCTGATTCATGGAGCCTCAGACGGAGAACACAATGCAGAGAAGCAGCTGCAGCCTCGTCCAATTATGGTGCTAAATTACCAAGCCGAAGGCGCTCAAAGGAAGACAGAAAGAGGGAGACACGCACACAGAGACAGGGAGACAGCGAGACGGTGAGAGGAGGGAGCATGCAATTCTGGTACAACGTGAATCCAAACTCACCATGGATGAATAGGTGTGGACTAACATCTGGAAAAAAAAGCCTGGTTACTGCTCAAAAATCAAACAATGATTAAAAAAAAAAAAAATCAAGGAGTCCAGCAGAGAAGCAGGCTGGACACAGGAGCCGAGCTTGAGGTGTTTCCAGGACAAGCCATCAAAAAAAAAAAAAAAAATTACAGCCCCCCCCACCCCCCAAGATTGGCGATGCCTGTCACACACAGACAGAGAGATTCATTGACTGTCCCTTGCTGTCTTTTTGGCCTCTTTTCTTCTGCGTTCTTGGGGCTCCAGATGCAGTCCTCTTCCACCCTAAGCTGGGCTCAGACTGCTCAGGCGCCCCTTCCTCCCTCCGCTTGCCTACACCGCCTCATAATAATTGATATTCATGACTATTAATATTACACGAGTACTTTAAAGGGAGAATGGAGGACAAATGGAGCGTGAAGCAGCAGCCAGCGCAGAGCTCCCCTACTATTGTAAATGGCGTTCATTCAGTGGAGAATTACTAGATGTAATCAGACGAGGGGGCTGGCAAAGGCAGACTGGGGAAAAAGTTTAGCAGGAAAGAGGAGAACTTCAATTAACTGAGCTGCGGACGGGGCGACGAGCAGCGCGAGCTCTTTGGGACCAGGCAGGGAGCAAGGGCACCCGCTGGGGGTTTGTAAGGGACCCAGAGACCCTTCCTGAGCCTGCGGTGGGGCTCCTCTGATGGAAGAACCGATCTCCCGGGGTAGTTTGCGCGCAGATTAAGAAAACAAAACGGGGGGAAAAAGAAGGCGTTGCCTTATTATTTCAGGAGAGAAAGTAAGCCCGTAGGTCCCGGGCTGCTTACGGTGACATCTGCAGACTTCTCCTGACTGTGGAGACTGCACTTATTTATGGAAGGCCAGGGCCGAGAGGGGGGCTTCCCGTCCCTGTGGAGACTCTCCCTCTTTAGGGCTCACGCAGTCTGCGATATTTTTTGCCTCGATTTAAAATGTATGCAATCAATCTTCATGTTCACTAAACTTATCCTTTTCAGGCAAAGCCAGAGGCAACAGAAAACCTTTTTGGATGTTTCAGGAACCCGTTCAACTGGCCTGACTGCCATTTCTGTTAAAGTTCAACCTTCCTCTGGCCTTAAATAGGCTCCTTCCACTGGGTCTCTTGTTTTCTAAGCAGAAAAATTAGGCAAGACGGGAATACCTGTAGTATTCTCTCTCTCCCTATATATGTATCTATCAGTCTCTCTCTTTTCTCCCTCGCTCTTTTTCCCTCCCCCTTTTCTCTTCCTCCCTACCCCACCCCTTCCTCTTTTTCTCTCCCTCCCTCCTCCCCTCCCTCCTCTTCCATTTAGCCAGTTTACTTTTCTTAATCAAAGACCAAGTTTGAATCCGGATTCATTTTCCAGCTCGCGGAAATTCCTCTCTGTAGCTGCCTCAGCTGTTTACGCAGCCGCCTCGGTCCCGCCAGTGCTGTGCGCGCTTGAAGCGGTCACACATTCTTTAGGGTAATTCTAGCGCCTTCGACTTTTACCATTATCCTGCTTGTTAAGAAAGAAAAGGAGGCAGAACCGAAACAAACCCCACCAGGCGCGGAGGCGCGGCTTGTCGTTACAGTCAATGCCCTGCCAACAAAGAGGCAAATCCCTAGGATCACTCCACGAAAAGACGGCTCTCTAACGCGCGCATGCACGCACACACACAGAATCCAAATTTAGGGGCCAATTCCAGGCTGGCCAGTGTCGGGGGCCCTCTGGATCCCCTTCTATCGGGTAGGGCCAGGCCTCCGGCCGCCCTTAGGCCCTTGCTGGGCGCTTCCCGGCTTTGCCGGGTCTCTATCTGAGGTGGCGCTTGGACCCACTTGGCGATCATCTGGTCCCAGGCGCTGCGAGGAGCGTCTGGCGAGCCTCGGAGCAACCCCGCGCTCCTGCTGCGGGAGCCGGTGTCCCGGGAGCTGCCTGTCTTCCTCCGCCCTCTTAACTTTTTCTCTGCTTCCTCCCAAGCTCTCCGCCCGCCGGGCAGGGATTTCCTCCCTTCCTTCACGCCTCGTCGCCTTTTCTTCCCATGCTTTTATCTATTTCCCGTCCTTCTCCGCCGGGTCGGAGCCTTCATTTCTCCGCTTCCTTTTACACCTAAAACAGTCTCCCGGCCATTCCGCTTCGGGGCCATTCTTGGCGGCCCCTGATGGCCTCCCCTCTCGGGCTCACTCCCCGTCGTACGCCCCTCTCCCGCCTGGCCCGCAGCCCGCCGCCCCGCCGTGCGCCCCGCGGGAGAGGGGAAACGCAGCCGGGGGCTCCGGGTCCGCCGAGGCGGAGGGCGGCCGCCGGGCTGCGCGCAACTTCTCCACCCCGAGCAAGAGTTGTGCCAGTTTCAGCCCTGGAGAGCCTAGCGCACTGATCATGGGCAGAAAATTTCGTTAAAAAATACAAAAACATAAGATGGCAGAGCTCTATATTTGGGCACAGGATCCTTCAGAAAACCAAAACACAAGAAAACAGAAGACAAATTGTCTTCTACGGCTCCTTAGCTCGCACGCTCTATCTATCTATCTATCTATCTATCTATCTATCTATCTATCATCTATCTATCTATCCATCCATTCATCCATCCATTGATTTACTGTCATCTATCCATCTATCTATTCATCCACTTATTATCTATCTATCTATCTATCTATCTATCATCTATCTATCTATCTCCGTCCGTCCATCCATCCATCCCCAGTCCCTCTCTTCTCATCGTCCGCTATTTGGATCCATTTGTTACTTATTTCTGAAGTTTACTTGAAAATAAAAATTAAAAGCCTGAGACTATTAACGAATGAGGCTTGAAAGTCCAATTCTTTCCTACACTTAAAAAACGAGAGCGCCACTGCCTCAGCCACAGTCTTTATTTTCTCTAACAGCCTGGGCACACTCCCATCTACAGCTTACAAGAAGGGGGGGGGGGGCGAAGGAGAATGAAAAATAAGAGAAAAAGAAATCTCCTCAGTTAAAGTTGCCAGATTTCAACCTTTAAGCCTTTTCCCCCACTCCCCGAATAGCAAAGTATCCCTAAGCCAGCTCTTCTTAAAGTTCGAGAAAGCTGAGAAAACCGACCGGAAAACTGCGAGCAAAAAGCTTAAAAATATGTATCCGTCGGGGTGTCTAGAAACTCAAAGTGTCTATCTGCAAAGCTCTAAGATGCATCTGAGGGTGCCGGCTCACCTCATAGATATCTTCGTACTTGACATTCTCCACGAGCTTCCAGAGCATGATGGCAGCCTGGTCTCTAGGAGGTGAGTGCATTCATGTGAGGAGCAGATGTCTGGCTTCTCAGGACTCCGCTGTCTGTAATGATCCATCTATAATTGGAAATGGGGGATACACACCAAATCCGACGCTCCTCTCCCATCGCAACTTATATCTGTTGTCTCAAACAATAGGCTGGAGAAGTAAGCCTCAGCTGAGAGAAAAACATTATTGCACACACAGGAGTTAGATGTAACCCACAGACATATATATATATTATAAAAAAAAACGATAAACAAGTATTTACACCCAGACACCCACGTTTAGTTATATAAGCACCCTTGGGTCAAAACGGAGTCTGCAGACTCTAAACGTGCATTTAACAAGGAGAGAGTTATTTAGGGAGATTAATACATAGATATACACATTTAAAACCTCTATATTCAAAATGATGATTCATTTATAGGCACTGACTTTACTATTTATAATGCGAGACCAGGGGGCCATTGGTCCCCCATTTTCTATGGAGATTTTGAAAGGGGGGACCATAATTGGGATTTTTAGACACAAAAGTCCGTATTTATGTGTGTTTCAGGGGGAGGGCATTTTGAAGGCTGGATTTTGGGTATCTTAAGGGTGATCTCTCTCCGTGTTGATGGCTACAGACCTTATATATATTTTAAACTCTATCTCTGTCAGTGTCAAACAAAACAGACACCTCATCACAGTGACCAGTTCTACTATTTTCTGGCCATTGGGCTACACATACCAGGAAATGGAAATAGAGTGTGTAGCCCTCAGCCTGCATTGTTTGTTGTGGGGGGTGTTGTTTGTATGTGTTTTTCGGGTATTCCTTCAACCATTCTTTCCTTGGCTGATGCCTCCATGTTATGAAGTTACATCAGATGTTGAGAGCAACACTCAGAGACTCACAAAGTGTTGATCATAAGCCACCTTTGCAGGGACTGAGGACATTTTATATTTGTGTCTGTTGTCCATAACTTTTAAGAGGCTTTCATCATGGAGACTGAAGAAACGTTCACCCGACTTCTTTGAAAGGTTTAAACAGAATGCTTTTCTGGAAAGAAATAGTAATAACTGACTTAAGATGGGTAGGGCTTTATTTGGGACGACATACCTTTTCCTTAGCATTATGATTCTTTTTTTTTAAAAAAAGTTTTTTTTTTAAAATCAGAACATATAAATATCAAGAACAAGTTAGCCAAACTAGGAAATGGGCACCTTCAAGGGACAGAGTTTGTGAATTTCATCACCTATTGAATAGCCACTTTTTTTTTTTTTTTTGTCCACCCCCTAGGTTTTTTTCTACTCCATTTCTGGGTTCCAAAGGATCCCTCGCAGCTCGAGGGGAAGCCCAGAGGAGGATCTTTGCCCTCGGCTATAGAAAAATAAATGACAAGAAGGAATGAGAAGTTACCAGGGCAATTTGGGGTGGAAGTTATTAAACCTGATAAGAAAGAGTTAGTAAAGGGCGATTGTCTTTCAACCCACAAGTGCTGTGCCCACTGCGTGCCAACAGAGCCGGGCGCCCTCGAAGGCGCAGAGGGCTCCGGACAACCACGTTGGCAAGCGACTCCATCAAAGTCAAGGGGACGCTTCATAGAGTGAGAATGAGAGATGCTACAGATTGGAAAATTTCCCCTACAAGTCAAATGAAAGGAATAAGAACAAGATGCTTTCGAAGGAACATCAGAAATAATTTTCCTTGCGATTTTTAGTTTCTCTCCATCTTTTTCCTCTTTTCTCATCCCCCACTTCCCTTTTCTCCCTCCCTTCGTTTTCACTCTACATTTCGTTCCTTTCTCCCCTCCCCTCCCCTCTCCTCCATCCTCTCTTCTCTCTCTCTCTTTCAAGTAGTAACATCTTTAAACACACAGAATTCAGACACGTTTTCCACAAAGAGCATTGGCAAATATGTCTCCTTTTGCTCTAGAGCTGTTTTGGAATTAGGATGCGACTAGTAGGGAATTCTTCCTGACCTTATTAGGCAGTGGGACTTAAATATACGTCCCCCCCCCCATCGTTTCCAGATCAATATTTCGGAAGATTAAATATTATGGACTTGTAAATTAAAATTCTCCAGACATATGTATTAATGGCAAGAATTCTCGTCTTTCTTTAAATCAATAATGCCATTATCTTTGTTATCTAAAAATTATTCCAACAAAAAATTGAAAAAATCTATTTATCAGATGCTTTTAACATCTTTTCCTATGTCTTTTTGGTACTGATTAGCCTAAAGTAAATAAAATCCAAGGCTTAACGAAATTAAAAAACAAGCAAACCAAAAAGCCCCAAAGTCAGAAGGAAATAGCTTTATACATAAAACTATTCAAAATATATTCCGAAAGTATAACTATTTTATAGCCTTATGCATGTATAATTTAAAATTTAGCGTATGTAATTTTATGTTATGTTAATGTGAGGTATTTCTTGAAATTGGAAACATCTTGAAATATCTGGTTACACTTGACGCAAATTTTTTAGGAAAACTGAAAAAATTTTTAAAAAAATCTGATCTATCTAGCTTTATTAAGAACGAAGCATAAAATTTAAAATATTATACTCACATTGAAAAAATATGCAACAATAATTTAAGCCCTTTTCAAATTTTCAGCGCTGGCATTACTGGGTGGTGGTGGTGGGGGAAATCCTAGAAATTGCAGGAGAAACCTGTCCTCGGGCCCGTCCCTGCGCCATTGGACGGGCAACACCGCCCTCTGTCGGGGTTTTGAACGAGAGACTTCTGCACGGCCGCTGGATTTTATTTTCAGCGAAGGCGTCCTTCGGTCCTATAGAACTGTTACGATCACTAGCAATATTTCTTAAAAATCAGCTCTTGCAGAATGGTCAAATGCTTATTAAAAAAAGGCTAAGTGAAAAGCTCAACTTCTACTAAGCACATTCTAATTTGCTCGGGACTCCAGCTCTCGTTGCATTTTCGCTTTAACTCTACGTTGTGTTTTCGGGAAAAGATTCTCATAAGAATTCACTAAATGCAAACGCAAGTGGAGAGCAAGATCTGAATTCCGAAAGGAAGTTGACGAGGCAAACTCGGTATTGTTATTATCATTTTCTTTTCTGTGTTGTGCTGCCCTGGGCCCCTTTTCTCTTTTCCGGGACACGCAGGGCTCTCCTAGGGACGGGGAGGAAGCGCAGCGTCCCCAGCCCACGTCGTTATGTTCCTACTAGTCTCCCTTGTCTTTGCATTTAGTTAGATTCGTGTTGCAAATAAGGAAGTTAATAACGTCCCCATTTTTTTCAACTTAATATTAAAAAAAAAAAGATCTTTGCAGATAGATGCAGGAACCAGAACGCGAAAGCAAACGCTCCTAACAGAGGGCCCTCTGCTGGTAGTTCACCGAGCAGGTTTATAACTTCTTTTAAAAAAGAATATTATGAGAAAATATTGTCACATTAAATCAAAGTCAGCTATTAGCACTCTTGAGTCCTATTTCTTCTTTCCTTTAAAAATTAATGATGAATTATCCCAATTTCTTCCCTTATTCCCTCCTTTGACGCTATTACGTACGGTTTTTCAGTTATCTCAGTAGCTGCCTAATACATCTTTTCTTTTTTCCTTTACACTTTGACCTGAGTTTCCCTTTTTCACCTTCCCCAAACACAAAAATAATAAGTTTGGTAAGCCAATTTTTGGGTCAAGTCCTGCCCCTGACCTCAGTCTTTGGACAAACTATTTTTAATTGCCTGAATCTTGCTATCCTGAGAGTAGAATGATGGTGAGAATTCATTATTACAGTAATACCAGTGAAAAGACAGATGTGATGATGTGGCTTTGTAAGTGGCCAGGTTTTATTGTTTACAAAGCAACAACTCTCTTCTGCTCTGTAAACAATGAAATACCTTGAGACATTTGGAGCTGGTGTCAGAGAAATAAAAGTTTCTTTCGATTGTTGTAGGTGCCATTAAGTCTACGAGGAGTCATAGCAGCCCTATGAAGATAGGAAGTTTGCCCTATCCTGTGCCATGTTCACTATATACTCAAAGAACTTGCATGAGCTCCTGGTTAGAAAGCAGACATCTTAAATTAGGCTGTCTGACTAGAACTCAGCACTCACTTCACACTTGGGATGGTACTGTCCTCCTTCTGAAATGAAGAACACAGTATTTTAGGGCTGTTTGTTTTTCCAGGGTTATCTTTATTCTGGCTTTATAAACAGGTAAAATGCAAACACAAACATGTTTCAGTAGTCTCAGGGCATCCTTGTTTGCATCACTAAAGAACTGTGCTGAACAGGACTTTAAGCCTGGTCTTTTGGTAATACATCACCAGAATTCTCTTCTGAGACACCTCTTGATGAATTCAAACCACCAACCTTTCTTTTATTAGTGGAGCATGTATCCCTGTTGGCCATCCATGACCCCATAAACAAGAAAGGGAAAAGAGAAAGCAGGGCACTAATTAATTCCACATACCCAGAGCTAATATTTTCCCTGTACTTTGGCTTCTCAACACTCGATCTAGTGTAATATTCAAGAGTCTCTTCTGACATCCATTTTGGTCTTTTCTTCTTCCTCCATCTTTGTAATGACTTTTTGCATTCTTCATGGATGATATTCTTGATATCCTCCCACTGTCTTCACTCATTCAAGACCTCGAACCTGTTGCTGAGACGGTCTTTAAAAGCAGGAGGGATAGACTCAAGGTCTGTTTACTGCAGAAGGCCAAGGACTGCAGCCTTCAATATGGACTTGAGCTCAACATCAAGAAAAAAAAGATTCTCACCACTGGGCCAAATGGCAGGATCATGATAGATGGAGAAGTGACTGAGATTGTTATCAGCTTCAGCTTGCTTGGCTCTATAATCAACACTCTAGGTACCAGCAGCCAGGAAATCAAAAGACAAATTGCACTGGGAAAATCTTCTATCAGGGACCTCTCTGAGTACCGAAGAGCAATGGTATCAATCTGGAGACTAAAGTGCACCTGATCCAGGCCATGATCTTAGCAATTACTTGATATCCATCAGAGAGCTGGAAAATGACTAAGGATGATCAAAGAAACATCCATGCCTTTGAGCTGTGGTGCTGGAGAAG